TTTCTTTAGGAACTCCATGGTTAATCAAGAAACTGTGGAAGAAATCTAAGATGGATACTGCCTAAAAAAAAAACACAAGATAGAGAGGCCCTTTTTTTAGAATAATTCTATATAAACCTTTCTGTAAGAGTCAGGAAAACTCTAAATACAGGTCTTAAACTAAGCTGTATTCCTTTTTTTTTATTAAGGGAACACACCTCAAAACCTTGGGGCTGCTTAGTTATTGTTGTTGTTGTTTGTTTTTTTCTTAAGAATAATAATGTTTTAAAGTAACTCTGTAATCCAACATCACAAAATGCATAATTACACCATGAAAGTGTTAAACATAGAAATGTATGAAAATCTAGAATTTTGCCTCAAAAGTTTTAAATGTATAACCATATAGATATTTATTGTTTAAATGTCCTACATCATGACTTGAACCTTTCATTGGTTCAATTGGGAATTACAGCCCTCCATGTAAATGTTTATTGGCAGTAGACTTCATTTTCTGTCCCTCACTTTCCTATTACTCAAAATCCTATGAGAGACCAAGTAGCAGGAAGCATTAAAAAACAAAACAAAGCTGGGTGACAGTTTAGCCTAATTTTCCCTGAAAAAAATGTTTGTTTTTTTTTTATCAGCTCAGTTAGTTGTATCCAGGGTGACCTTTTTCCAGGAAAAGTCTTGGTGATGGACATAGATTTAAAAATGCAAAAATCTGTGCCATTACCAAGAGGGAGTCCAAATAATCATATGTGGGCTCAAAAACTCTTTGTAAATATTGTAACATCTTTGTTTAAAAGAAAGGTATTGTACATGAAAGCTAACTTCCATTGTTTCCCCAAAACACTCCTTAATAGCTGTATCAAAAAATGTGATTAAAAGCAGGAGTCCGTGTCAACTTTCATAAAACCATAGAATGGTTTGGGTTGGAATTGACCTTAAAGATCATTTAGTTCTAATCCCCCTGCCATGAGCAGGGACACCTTTCACTAGAAAGTGTGTCCTTTCTTAAATATAAATAAAACTAAGCTTCAGGATTTCTTTTCAAACAGCATATTTTCAGGCTATGTTCTTTTAAAAAACAAAATTATGTTTAGATGCAGCACAATTGCTTTAGGAGACAAAAACTACCAATGTATTTTCTCTTTTCCTGGAAGAGATGACCTCAGTTCTTAGTGCTTCGGCAGCAGAAGTTATTCTCTCTGGAAATGTAGTCAGGGCCCACATGGAATCAGTCCTGCAGTTGCATGAAATATCTCCAGCACCAAAGCACATCTTTCCCCAAGGGACATAAAATTTGCTGTACTCATTGGCACATGCCCTCAGCTGTCATGAGAGCTGAGCTCTGTGGGGTGTGGCTGATGGATGCTGTTGGGTGCAGCTGGCACAATGCACACAGAGATCCAGCACAGCAGAGTCCCATCCCAAAAGAAAGCACCAGAAATCCACCTGGTACATTAGTAGCAGATGAGAAAAGAAGGCATAGTATATTCACTAATATTCACTAAAATAATTGTCTCAGTCCTTCTCAGCTACCTCCAGGTGAAGGCAATTTCAAAGTCCAAAGCCACATCAACTAAAGGAACCTAGAGCTTAAATGTAAATCTCAGGAGAGGATGTGTAATTTAACTTATTTATAGTTAAGTAACTACAGGAGTAAAATGTAAGGCAAAACTTGGACAAAGTGGATTCATGGGGTGGACAGTTGAAAATCACTCTAGAGCATCAAAGAGACAAAACTTGTCACAAGAGTCCACATAAATTAAAAATAGTAGGTGTTCAGGATTTGTTTTAGTGAATTTTATTAAATTATAATTTATTTAAAATGAAATATTTTATAGAAATAATTACAATGAAAAACAGTTTTCCCATTGCAGTTGCATAAAAAAAACGTTAATATAACCCACTAAGTACAAAAGAAATTTGTTATAGTCTTCATTGAAGATCAGAGTTGAGATTTAATTTCAGAAAAGATTTTTTTTTTCCTTTGGTTAATATTTTTTTTTATTTGCCTAAGGCAGGCTTGAGCCATGCATTGCATGGTCATGACTGGTTTTTTGTATTTGAACAAAACAAGACTAAAATGTAACTAAAACTGTGTGAATTTAGTTTAACATCTGTTTTAGCATCCAAGCATTCTCTATCATATTTTAATTGCTAGAATTTGTTTCTTTTCTTCCTAACTGAGACACCTTCATTGTTTCCAAGGAGGTCTATGACTTCTACCTACTATTTATATATAAACCATATGTGTGTAAATATATATATATATATATATATATATATATATGAAATACGTTTAAATACCTATTTGTGTTTCCTCCATGGCACTATTTCTGTTTAGGTTGTGCCTTGATGCTCACCTGTGTCTAAGATATGTCTCAGCTGCCTACTGCTGGGAGGAAGTTCTTACTGCACACTCCCAAGCAAGCATTGCACCAGTAGAATCACTGAACAACCCATGAGTCTGGCTGACAAAAATAGCAACATTTCTAACCTTTAATTCTCTGGCCACCTTTATGTGGGTTTCTCAAGTGAGGCCAGACCTGAAAGCAGTCTTATGCACACAATCAATTTATGAGTGCACAACCATAATTTATTGCCCGTGAGGCACACCAGGGGATGGGGCTAACGGGGTGTGATGTGCTCAGCAGTTCGTGAGCAGGCAGACAAAGCTGCTCTGTAGCCAAGCTGGCCAGCAGTTGGCAAATATGCAGGAAGGTGCCAGCCTTTGGGTCGTTCTTTGCAGTAGACTGAGCTTTTATGAATTGCCACCTTTCTCCTCTCTGACTTTACATCTTCCCACATTGCAGTTTTCCTCTTGAATCGAGGATGATTTCAGATTTTCTGCTTCCAGTTAGTTCTTTTGCCAGTAGCAGTTCTGCACTCCTGTGGGCTTTTTATTTCTACTTTTCAACTTACATGAGCCAATGGCCCATGTTAACTGCCTCTCTAGAGCTGACAGAGAATGCCACAGTTCAGCATGATCTTCCCTTTCTCAAATCTGGGGCAAGGGCATATGTGGGTCCTCTTTGCACGTGTACCCTTATTCTCAGCACTGAGAAACTCAAGAGTCCATTGGCATCATTTGGAGACAGAGAGCATAAGTGCAAGCACAGGAAAGCTGGTATGACCGTACCACCGTACCTCTGCAGGTGAGGTTCATAAGAGGCATGGGAAAAAAAAAAAAAAAAAAAAAAAAAAGAGTCTCCCAAAGAACTAGCTGTCCCAGATAGATCTGGGAAAGGCCAATGCATGTTCAGCCAGGTTTGGAAGGGAGGTGTGGCAAAAGATGGTCCTGACCAGCCTGTCATAGACATACCTTGGCTTGGTGCTCACCCAGTGCCAGGGCCAGGGGTGGCTAGGAAAGGCTGCCAGGGAGGGCAAGGGGAGCACAGGGGTCACCTGCCCTCCCCCTACCTCTGCTCTCTTCCCTTTCTCCATTGCTCTTTTCAATATGTCTTTTTAGATCGGCCCTTTCTTTTCTTCCTCTTTCCTGTTGGTTCAATATGATCCTGTTCCTTCCTGTTTCCCCTCATCCCCTTTTGTCTTCTCACCTCAATTTCACTTCCTAACCCTTCTTCCCTGACATGACACGACAATCAGTCTCCCTTGAGTCATCCTTACTTCCCCCCAACGTCCCCTATCACTCTGACGTCTTTCCCCCTTCCTCCCCCCAGCTCTGACGGACGCGTTCCTCTCACCCCATTGAACCCTCCTCCTTTATAAAGAGATTTTCCTCTTTTTAATCCACGAGACCCCCGGCGCAGCCTCAGCACTCGGCGCACCGTCGGCACCGCGGGGCAAGAGACGCTCCTTCCTTCCTTCCTTCGCTCCTTCCAGCGGGAGAGCCCCGGGCGCGGACAAAGCCCCGGCGGCTCGGCCCCGACACCGCCCCGCGGGATGGGCGGCCGTGTCCCGCGGGCTGCGGGGCAGCGCGGCGCCGGAGCGCAGGTGGGCGGCGGGGCAGAGGCGGGCGGGGGCGGCGGGGCTCCTCTCCCGGCTCGACGGCGCTCCGGGCGGGCGGACGAGCGGGCGCTGCTGCCGCTGTGGGCGCGGGGCGGGGGCGCGGCCGCGCAAGGCGCTCGGCGGAGCCCCCGGAGCCCCCGGAGCCGCGGAGGTAGGGCTGGCTCGGGCGGCTGCCCCGCGGAGGTAGGGCTGGCTCGGGCGGCCGCCCCGCCGCGGAGCCGTCGGGAGGAGCGGGAACGGGGCTCGCCGGCGCGGCGGTGCCAGAGCGGGCGCGGAGCGGCGGGGCCGGCGTGGGGAGGGGGCTCCGGGAGAGGCTGGGTACGGACGGGGCTGCCGCTGTCCGCGCCGCTCGGGAGTTTTCCCTCGCGGTAGTTCGTATACTTCAACATTTCTGCCTTCCGACAGCTTGTAAGCTTTCCGTTTGCTTCCCGTATTGTGAGAGAACAGACTCATGCGTTTCATGCTGGACAATTAAATGTTGCAAAAAAGAAATCGCAGACTTTAAAGTACGGGAGATGTTACAAGGGGGACCAGACTCAGCATTCCAATACAAACACTTAAAAGATGAGTTTTGCTGTTGTAGCTATTACTTATACGTAGTTCTAGTATTACTTAAAGCAATTTTGTCTTCAAAATAGAGATTTTTGTAATAGTCCACATGCCCAAGATTTTTTCTTGTACCAAACTAGTCTGTGACTGAAAAGTTCCCAGACATTGAGGATTTGGTGATACCAAAATAATTCAGTGCTCAATAACTGACTTGTAAGGATAGTTTAGCTTTCAGCCATGTCATTCATTCCCTTTTGTGTTCAGACTGTAACCACTGGTTGTTGCTCCACTGGCGTTTTAATTGGCATGTGACTTTAATCTCAATTACATCTGAAATTCTCATTTCATAAATTCACCAGAATAGTCTCTTTAAAAACCATCTGAGGGTTTTTGTACACTGATTCTAAAAAGCAGGCATGCTAAAAGCAGACCTATTATTGCATTCTCTCCAGAGGTCTTAATGAAATAGCGATAAAAGAAACAGTTGGGACTTCAACATGGCTTTCCATGTGGAGGGGCTGGTGGCCATAGTTGTCTTCTACCTGGCAATCCTGGCAGTAGGGATATGGGCTGCTTGGAAAACCAAGAACACCGGCAGCGAAGGAGATCGCAGCGAAGCCATTATCGTCGGTGGAAGAGACATTGGTTTGCTGGTTGGTGGATTTACAATGACAGGTATGTAAAAAAACACCTTACTGTTTCCTAGTCAGTGTAAAACTTGTCAGTTTTCCATCTGAATGAATTGCAATCTGCATGTTGAGTAATGCAAAGTGGAGAAAATAGATATACCTTTTTATCCAGTTGTAGCATCTGTATAGAAACAACAAATATTTGTAAATCTGACAGAAAGAATATATTTTAACTAGTTTACATATATTTTCATTCCATAGTAATGTGTAGATTAGATATGTTTGGGACAAAAGTATGGAATTAATATAGATTAATTAGAAAGTCTTAAAATAATTGTTATGGTTTTCAAAACCATCCATATTTGTGTGTTACTGGGTTTGTTTAATCTGAGTAAAACAAAGTTTACAGGGAAAAAGATTGTTGGGAAGGGGAGGGTGTACAATATAAACTAACTTTCTAAAAGAAAATTGACATAACCCCAGACTTGTAACTGTACAGATTTCAGCAAACTTAATTTGTGGATTCTTTTAGCTTCTTTTTCAGCATTTGGACAAAATAATGCTTTACTCTCAATAGTAGTATGAGTAAGAAAAGGCTGGGTGAAGGAAGAGTTCTTCACTGATTTTGTAAACAGTGCTCTCTGAATCCCAGAGCCAGTCAAACCAGCTGTCTTGCCTGGGTAAATAAGATATTCACAATACTGTCCAAAATCTTGAAACTTATATTATGGTGTTGGAACAAAAATGCATTATAGGAAGAGTGAATTTGCCCACCATTATATTAAGGCAAATTAGTGTTTAGGCATGGGTGGGTTTTTTTTATTCTTAATTTAATCTAAATCCTATTCAGGCAAAGCCCTTTCAATTGTCAAATTGAATTTATCTGACTATATTTATGTTTTGCTGTTTTGCCCTGCTCTGCTTTCACAATTATCTAATAAGGAAGAGCCAAGTAAAACTTGGGCCAAAAATCTGCATTCTTTATTTGAGATAACTTCACATTCTTTTGCAGGGGCATTTTGCTCATTCGAAGACTGAATGTTTAGATATTGAGTAAAGAATGTTTGTAAAAGTTAATAAAGTTTGAATGCAGTCAGATGTTCTACTTTTTGCACTATGCTGTAATTTACCATATCACACATCCATCAGCTACTGGTGCATGAGGAATGACGAGAGTCTGCTCCTAGTGAGAGCTGGTTAGACTGCTTTCTGCTGAGTGAAATGTTTTCAAGGGCACTGAAAACAGAATATTTTGCAGAAATATTGGTTGCCACAAAACAATAAACATTAAATCAGGGGAGTCAAGATAAAAAAGCTTTTCCCACAGAAGTGGCTACAACTAATGGCTTTGCATATAGAAGATACAGATTCTGGTCTCCTTCATCCTATTTTGCAGGAATATTTTGTGTAACAGCTGAAGCACAGATGAGACCTGAACTGGGATTTCCTGTATCTCAGGCATGTTCTGTAGCCACCACAATTCACACCCGCACATGTTCATCCTGTGTTGTGCAAGCTCTAGAGATGGCGCAGTGTCTCATCTTTGCAGCAGAATATCAGACTGATCCCAAAGCCTTTGGGGAGCTCAAACTATCATGGATTTTGTACTCTCAAGGCTGACACTCTTTTTCCCCTGTGCCTTCCTTCAATCTGGCAATTAAAGCTGGATATGGCAACTAACCTACCTTTCAGTTGTGGTGAACCACGGCTGGTGCATAAAGCGAGATCTGGGCACAAATCTGCCGAGCCAGGGGTTCGTCCGAGCTTTGTCTCGGTGAGGGTGTTTGGGGCACTCGATTTCTAAAGTCATAACAAAACAATTATGAAAGTAAGCTGATGAAAATCGACGATAATTTTTACAAAAGGGACGTACATTTCAAGTGCATACCTGCTTTTTAAACAATGGTTGGTGCTGATTTTGCACCTTGCAACCCTGACTATTCGCAATACATGACTATTCCAACATCATCTTTTATGTTTTCCAGGTTTAATTGTCTAAATATAAATTAGAAAGCAAAGCCTACCCCACAACAGGAAAACAAGAATTATTTAAAACATTTCCAGAAAGGATATTGGTTTTATGTACATGGAGCACTTTGGGTTATGAGATAAGGCCTTATTCTCTCTTTTTTGCCTGCGACAAACGCTGCAATGTTCCACAGGTATTGGCCATGAAAGTGGTAGAAGTTTCTAGGGTTACTTAGTGGAGAGGACGACAGCACTGAGCCTATAAATTTGAAATAAAATTCAGAATATAAGCACCAAAGTCAATATTACAGAGTAATTATAGCTGATTTTCTAAACAACATTGAAAAATCTTAAAGCACTACCTATGAATAACAGCTGTGGGTATTTTTGGATATATGCTGTGATCCTGAAGGAGAAAAAGCTGTATCAACCAGCTACTGAAATGCTGAATACAAAGCCTGTTGAAGGTTGAGTGTGTCTGCAAATAAGAAAACAGAAGGAGTGAGAAGGTTGAATTGTGGATGGATCACAGCAGCTTCTATTAAAATGAAATAACACTGTACCACAGTAGACACATTTAATCTGTGTATAATTTTTACATAATTATAGATAAAATGTTGCATTAAATACTACCATTCCTTATTTTTGTGAATGATTTTTTAAAGAAGTGATATCTGAAACAAAATTTAATCTAATTTGATTTTAGTGATTGAGTTTAAACCTCAAAGGAAATAGTTGAGATTACATAACTAAATGCTCACAAACATACCCAAAAGGTAATAATCTATTGATGTAATTTTTGCATTTTAGTTGGATAGACCTACATAACCCTTCTATATGAAAAAATAAATATTACACAATTCTCTTTTATTCTAATCTTTGGATCAGAATTTTCATTTTACAGAACTTGATGAGTTTATTAAATAATTTGAGTGCTCAGACAAGGAATTCTTCTGAAGAAATGCCAAAAATTTGGTTTCCTAGTATATATCACTATATATCAAGAACTCAGAGGTCAACTTCTGTGTGTCTCACAGGAACTACAAGAAAAATTGCACTCCTTACCCTCAGTATTTGTTTGATCCTTTTTTACAGTGCATGTTTTAAATGGATGTTGGTATTTGCTGCATTTTTTGTTCTTCAGACGGCAGGCAAAGAGAAGATTAAAGTAGATTACCACATGAATGCTTCCATAGATTATTAAATATTGTATTCCTTTTGGCTGATTTAGGTAAAAACAAAACGAATTTCACCAAAAATAATGGTATTAAACTAACTTTAAATTGTGACTTACCAAATGAGGATCAGAAAATTAATATCTAAGGTTGAAATCCCATCCTATCTTATCCCTTTATAATTCTAATGTATTTACCTGTGTCAGTGTACGTGCTGACTATCCATTCATCCCCTCAGAAAAAGACATATAACACCTTCCTAGAGCTCTGTGGTCCTTGACAGGTGTTCCAGAACAGTCACGTGCGCAGAAAAATTGATTAGCGGCAATTTTTCAAACTCCAATCCAGAAATCAAGAAATAAAATTAAAAAATAAGGGCTAAATCCTTCATGCCACCTTACACAGCAATATCTGTCTGCAGGGCAGACAGTGGAGGGTAATGACCCCTACAACATCACACAGAAGGGAATTGACTTGATCTCCTCCAGAAGAAAATAAGGGAGCTAGGCATGGCACCAAGTGCCCCTTGGGGAATATCTGACATCTCTGTAGCAACTGTTGGCAAATCAATGATGGAGCTGGAAGCCCCATTCACCACAGCTGCAGCAATATTGGACATCTGCCCCTGACTGTGGGATATTATTCTCACCTGTAACCAAGTATATAATTAATGTAGAATTCATGCTTAGGCATTTTCTGGGGAAAGAGACAAATAAGCTTCCCTTTGTAAATATTTACTTTTTGATATTGGATACAGGTGCTTATTCCACAAGATTATGCTGCTTGAGACAAAATAAGCAACACACATCCCAGGTAGTCATGGGTTTTTCCATAGAGCATGGGGTCCATATTGGGACCAGTACTATCCAGCAGCTTTGTCAGGGCCATGGACAAGGGGAATGAGGGCCCTTTCAAGCAAGGTTGCAGATGACACCAGGATGAGTGCTGTGGTTGATACTCTAGAGGGAAGGGATCTCATACAAAGGTACCTGGCTCAGTGGAAGAGGCCAAGTGTAAGATCCTTCACCTGGATCTGGGCAAACCCAAACATGGATGCAGGATGGGTGATGAGTGGATTAAGAGCAGCCCTGTTAAGAAAAATTTAGAATCACAGAATTGTGGAATCATCAGGATTGGAAGAGGCCTTCAAGATCATCAAGTCCAGCTGTCAAGCCCCTAAACCATCTGTAGCCCCTACCACTGTAGCCCCTAAACCACATCACTCAATGCCAGATCCAGACACCTCGTAAACACCTCCAGGGATGGTAACTCCACCACCTCCCTGAGAAGGATATTCCAATGCCTGACCATCCTAACAGTCAAAACTGTTTTTCTAATGTCTAATCTGAATCTCACCTGCTTCAGTTTAAGACTGTTTTCTCTTGTGCTTTTACTGCAGGCATGGTAGAAGAGACTGGCCCACATCACTACATCCTCCTATCAGGCAGTTGTAGAAAGTGATGGGGTCCTACTATTCTCAAGACTAAACATAGTCTGCTGCCTCAGTTGTTCCTCATCAGACATCTTTTCTAGACCTTTCACAAGCCCTGTCACCCTTTGCTGGACACACTGCAGCATCAATTCCTTTTTAAAGTGAGAGGCCCAGAACTGGCCACAGCACTAGCGGTGCCAAGTACAAGGGGATGATGTCTTTCCTGCTCCTGCTGGCTGCACTATTGCAGATGCAGGCCAGGCTGCCACTGGCCTTCTTGGCCACCTGGGCACACATTTCGTCATGTTCATCTGCTGTTGATCAGCATCCCCAGGTCCTTTTCTGCTGGACTATTTTCCAGACACTGTCCCCAGCCCGTAGCACTGCCTGGGGTTGTTGTGACCAAAGGCTAAGACTCAGCACTTGGTCTTGTTGAACCTTATGCAGTTGGCCTCAGCCAATCTCTCCAGCCTGTCCATATCTTACACTCCTGCAGACTAACACTCTGAAGCAACTTTGTGTGATCTGCAAATTTGCCAATGGTAGATTTAGTCCCCTCATCCAGATAATCTGTAAAGATATTAAACAGGACTGGGCCCAACACTGATCTCGGGGACAGGCTGGGAGAGTTGGGGTTGTTTAGCCTGGAGAGGAGAAAGATCTGTGCAGACCTGATAGCAGCCTTAAAATACCTCAAGGGGGCTTATAGAAAAGATGGGGATCAGGGCATGTAGTGAAAGGATGAGATGCAGAGGTAGGGAATTGAAGGGTAGATTTAGATTATATATTTGGAAGACATTCTTTGCTGTGAGGATGGTGATGCACTGGAACAGGTTGCCCAGAGATGATGTGGTTGCCCATCCCTGGAAGTGTTTAAGGACAGGTTTGACAGGGCTTTGAGCAACCTGGCCTTGTGGGTAGCATCCCTGCCCATCACAGAGGGGCTATAAATAGAAGATTTTTAAGGTCCCTTTCAATCCAAACAATTCCATAATTCTAGAAATTCGGTAAACAAAGTATGATATTCCCCTCTATCTTAATTCACACTGTAAAGAGTCACAAAATCCCAAATGTTTGACAAGTTTTCATGTAGATTATGTATCCTTGCTCTTCTTGTTAAGAATCAGCCTTAACCCATCTTCCCCACGTGGCTCCATACAGGCATCATTCACCCCTTATCTCTGTAGTACACCATAGCTCTTGATAACCAAAATTCTACTTGTAACAGGGCTCCTTGGGTCACTTCTTTTGTTGCAGCCTCTCTCTGCATGCACACCCTCATGAAAGTCCACTATACCATTTCCAACAACAGAATGGCTCATTCCTGTGCTTCAAATTGCTGAAAGGGGGACAATTGTAATTCTCTGGTTGCTGGAGATCTTTGATTCTAAAGCCATAGTGAAATTCAGCAAAATACCCTCTAGTAGTACTTGAGAGATATCACAGCCAAGCAGAAAAGAGTAGTTATTTAGCTCTTAATGAAATTTCTTAAAGAATTTTATTAAATTTTCTTAATTTGTTTTTCTCTCCAATTGTTTGTCTTAAACACAAAATCAAGTTTGCCTGCACAATGGTGGATGATGGGAAAATTCTGAGGAATGTTTAAGAAAAATACATTTCCAGCTATTGTGACTTTTTACACAGAAACCCTAACCACTCTTACATGAAAAAGTAAAGGGTTCTGACACAAACCAAAACATCATTACAAAAATCTAGGACTGTCTGGTCCTGTTGAAACTACAGACTTGGATTTCTAAAACTTACTCATTATACATGAGAGATAATAATTTTTTTTTGCATGGAATCTGCAAACAGGAAGAGATGAACTTTATTACTTGATTTGTTATGAAATATTTTTGCAGATGTAATCACAACACATTTATGTGTTGGAGTTTTTCTCTCATATATACTGTTGACCCCAAATTCTCAAATGTAGAAACTTCCCTTAAAGGCAGAGAATCAACTCATTAAGTGTCAGAGGTCAGTATATTAAAAATAGTGCTTTTTGGAGAGAGAGATAAAATCAGAAATATTGGAGATAGCACATATCCTTTATTGACTATGGCTCAAGGAAAAATAAAATAAATTAATTAAAGTTTAGAGTTTAGAACTTATGACAAAAAAAGCACCACAACTCTATATAGAAATATATTGAGAACTCAGAGTTTATTAGTATGCTTCATGTAACAACAAAAATTTAGCAAGGTTTAAAAGGCTTTTTTTTATTAAGGTCCTGGTAAATAATGTGTTCATCAAACTTTTGCCTAATTTACATGTCCTTCTTTAGACTCCCTCTTATACCTCTCCTTCATTTGTACTAACACAAACAAAATCGTAATGGTAAATAAATAGTGGAGGACTCAACCCTCACATCATCACTGACTATATAGAGACTTAGACACTTTGATGATTGCCTCAGTCCTTTTGACTTCTTTTTTCATATGCTTAGGCTGTAAATTCAAATTAGGGCTGCCTTTAATAAAAGGATGCCATGCCTGGCACTTGTATTGTTGATATAACAAAAAATAGCCATATCCTACATAATGATGATTTTATTATACAGTGTGTGATCTTTTCTTTCTTTGTGGACATTAAGGACTTTTCCATCTCTTCCTTTTCAGCCACATGGGTTGGAGGAGGTTACATCAATGGGACAGCAGAAGCTGTGTATGTCCCAGACTATGGTCTAGCTTGGGCTCAGGCTCCTATTGGATATTCCCTTAGCCTGGTTTTAGGTAAGCAAATACTAAAAGTAATAGACCCTCATTTTAAAGAGTTCTGATGTCAGGTTCATTCTTTAAAATAAAAAACTATGGTCCCATAAAAGGTTGCTGAGGTAAACTGGATCCCTTCTTCTGGTATATTTGGCTATTGAAACAAAACAAAACAAAATAAGACAAAAAAACTCTATAAATAGTTTGATATCTCAAGTGTCCCAAATTGCTTGCCAAGACCTGTTTGATTATTACAACCATATTCTTTGGGGGTGGGTAGAGGGGACCAGCAATGTGTTTAAATTGTCAATACCTAGTTTTATTTATTCAAGTTTTCTTTAATTGCCTATATGATCTGGAACATGACCCAAGTGCCCAGGTGTCAGTACACCTATAAATCTTGAAATTAGACAACTATCCTTTTGGGTTAGAAAAGTGCTTATACTTTATAGATGTCCACCAAGAATCTACGTAACTTTTCTGATTTTGTGTAGGAAGTATGTAGAACATATTTCCTCAGACTGGAAACTATTTTCTTAAAACTGAAACATGCAATCTCTTAAATGTACAAAACTCTAAATCACATGTCAGAATGCTAATGCAAAATCCTGATATATGCAGGGAGAGAGTGTAAAATACAGACAGCATTATAAATTCTAATGCTTAAATAATGATGCAACTGTTTAAAAAGCATGTTGTTTCAGAAAAAAATATCCTGTGTTTTTCATATTTCCTTAATATGACTGATGTACTCACTTTTCTAATATTACTTGACCTCTCGGTCTACTCTGAGTCTATTCTCAGGGTCCTCCCACCTAATCTGTCCCTTTGTTTCCTTTGGATGCTTATCCAGATCCTCTTTCACATTTTATTTCTTCCTATACAACTTGTTTTTCTCCCTCTTTCTTTTTTCCCCTTGAAAATGCTTTCCAATGGCTTGTCCTAGTTATCCTGACTTCCCAGGCAGAAACTTCCCCCACTGCAGATGACCCTCCCTGGCATGTCAGGCCAGCTCCAGTTCTTGCCACCCCTGAGAGCAGCTCTGTGTGCTGAAAGGAAAGCAGGGGCTGTGCATGTCTGCCTGGAGATGAGTTGGTGCCATTAGGAGGTCACGAGGGTGGCGATCCATCGGTGTCATTAGCTGGCTGTTGGGACTGGAGTCACAAGCATCCTCCTGGCCCTCAGCTATAGTAGATATTTTTGCCCCCAACAAAGGAGGAATGATGAGGAGGACTCCATGTTATCAGAAGGCTAATTACTTTATTATACTATATTATTCTATACTATATTACATCTATATTACATTACATCTAAACTGAATCTGCCAAGCACTCATCTGCGCTCCACTGCACGGAATCTCGTGACTGTCAGCCCACAGTCCTGACACACACACACACCTGGATCCAATTGGCCAGTGAATCAAAACACACCAGAATCCAATCATCAGTTCCCTTCAGGTAAACAATCTTCCACGATGCATTTCATTTGTGAACAAACACAGGAGCAATATATGAGATAAGAATTGTTTTTTCTTTCTCTGAGGTTCAGAGAATGTGAAACCCAGAAATATTCTTGGGAAGAACTGTGCCTTGCTTTTCTCTATGAGGAGAAATGTGGCAACACTCAGCCTCTGCAGAATTGACACAAATTAACAATAGTCCAGAAGAGTTAGCCTCTCTGCTTGTTTTCAGCTGTTTAGAAATACCCAGACTTGTTTTCCTGAAAATTATGATGGCTACTGCAGAGAAAAGCAGTCTGTATGTGTAACCATATATCTCTCTGCAGAGCACAGAGAGAAAGAATTTCCCTAGGCATGATGTGTACATGAAGGTTTGAGGGGAGGAATTCTTTATCCTTCTATAAAAAAATAATCAAGATTATAAATACAAGGCTGAGAGAAATATTACTGCTTCAGACAGGAAGTATTTAAGATTAAATCAATCTCCCTGTTTGTTATCCAAACAATTTATTTTCCTTATTTTTTCAAGTAATTTAGTTTTAAAAGTTTGAATACCTCTGAATACCTCCTATTTCCTTTGACAGGTATTTGAACATCCTAATAGATTATGTTTTTTCTTCTTTAATTGTCTTTTGCAATGATGGCATAACAAGTAGACTAAGAAAAGGATCCATTACTAAGCCAAGAATCACAAAAAAAAAAAAAAAAGCTGAAGGGTTTCCGCATCTACCTGCCTAAACACAGCATTCACATAAGCACTATAAACTGGGATGACAGTGTGTGACCCAGTACCTTCTGTTCAGAGAACTTGATGAAATGAAGAAATATGAGTTATAAAAGGCAATACATAGGAATTTGGAAAACCTTCTGCACAATATGATGAGTAAATGACATATCTTGTCATGAGGAACCTAATTAAGGGTTGCCAAATGCCATGCAGTATATCTTACTGGGAACTGACAGGGTTTCCAGTTCGTAATTATACCCTATACAGCAGTTTTACTGTGGTGACTTGGTTATAGTCATGTGCAGATCTCAACTACGCAGGTTTCCATATAAAAGCTCTTTCAGCTTTCCTCTGATATGTCCTGGTTTTTCCCCAAGACAGAAAGAATTTGAGGAATGGAGGCCTTTGCACATTTATGTGCATATTCAGCCCATATACCAGCCAGGCAGAGCAGAATAATGATATATCAAAATTCCTGAACATACATAAGTGAAATAACTGTATGAGAAATATTAATAGAATCTGACACCGGCAGAACTCAGAAGACTTCTGACACATCCTGCAGGTGTAGTAAAGTTGTTTCAAACATGCATAATAAATCTGAATTATCCTGAAATAATCAGATTTGCTGTGTGTGCACTAAACCACATGTGAAATTCTATTTCTGATTCAGGAGTCTCAGACTGTTTTATTTTTAGAGTAGGAGTATGTGAAAATTCATGCTGGATTCCAGTCTAAGAATCAACAGGATTAGGTAGAAAAGCCATTCTCTTAGGCTAATCCAAAATTAGACAAAACTCTGACAGCATCCATAATGGGAGATTACATAAACTGAGCCAGAAAAAATAAGAAAAAGCCTTTTTTAAAAATCATCAGAATATAGATACTAATGGAGTGTGTGTGTTTAAGTAATTCTGTAGACATACGTTAGAGTTTCCAGAGGATATTTTCACTGTACTTTTTACTTACAAACAAACAAATAAACAAACAAACAAATGCTATTGATGACATTTTTGTACCCTTAACTGACAATGAATCTTTTATCCCTTAATGGTAATGCATTTCTGAACTGCAGCTGGTGTCTTATGTGGCTTTTTCTTTGTAGGTGGCCTTTTTTTTGCAAAACCCATGCGATCCAAAGGCTATGTGACAATGTTGGACCCCTTTCAGCAGCTTTATGGAAAAAGGATGGGAGGACTGCTGTTTATTCCAGCTTTAATGGGAGAAATGTTTTGGGCTGCTGCCATCTTCTCTGCCTTAGGTAAGGAATAAGCAGTATAAATATTAGTTTATTACAGGTAGAAATTATCAAGAATGTCAGAAATGCATTAAAATTCTGGCTCCAAACGGTAACTGTTTAAGGCAAGTGATTCAGACTGTGACATTTCTCAGACCCATGCTAACTAGCAAATAAATCCAGTAATGCTACCCCTTTAATTATTTTGATAAGGGAAAGACATGCAAAGTATCTATTCATTTTCACATACCTTTAAGTTGTCCCTCTTCAAAGAGCATGAAAGGATTTAGGAGCAAATTTCTGTTCATAGTGAGGGTGACATAAGTGATTGCAAGAGCCCCTTTTGTGTCAAATCTGACCCAGCTTTTCTTTTACATCTCTGGGATGAGAGAAGCCAGTCAAAATTTCCCTTAATGATATGTAACAGCATTTCCAATGCATCTTAACAAAATAATCCTTTGAATATAGGAGATCTCCTTATACAGACCATTCCATAACACAAATAATAGAAATAAACCAGACGCTAATCAATAAATTGAAGAATTCTTCAATTCTAAATGGCTTTCTTCTTGACAAAATGAAGAAAATACTCAAGAAAGGATTTGGAGAATTAGTGAAACTGTGACTCAATAGAAAATCACTCAACTACTCATCCAGTCCTGAAAAAATCAGCTTCCGGGGTTTTTAATTATATTTCAGGCCTGCATTTAGCAACCCCTTTAAGAATAGAGAAAGCCCTTGAGTTGAAGCACCAGTAATTGACTTTTACCAGCTAATCATACTAATAATGCACATGCATGTGGTAATGCCTTCTAGCACAAGCTATTTTAAACAAAAATAAACTTTGAAGGTACTCTCCAACTGCGCTCTGATGAACTGCAAAGCAATGGGGAGCTTGTTTACCACCATTTCATCACAAAATCCTTAAAAGACTAAGAAAAAACTGCATGCTGAGGTGATGGGAGTTGAATAACTTGAAGAACACCCAGAGTATTTGCAATATTTTTGATTAAGGACAGGCCATTCTCTTTTATTTCAATACAAGTGATGTGGATACCTTTCTAGATTTATATAACAGCCAACAGTTAAAGACTGTCAATGATTATAAAGGTCAATGAAGATTTTAATTTTAACTATTCTGTGAGTAATCTAGTTCCTTTTTCACACCTATCCTCACTGATGAATGTTTAATCCCAGTATTCTTCACTACTTGCTTTTCAGCAATACTCCTTCCTTGGCAGGGTTATAGATGGGAAACACTGATCTTTAAGCTGTGGAAGAGGTCTGAGCTTGTCATTCTTAAGCACATGAACTTTGAAGGCTCATTGTGCAGCAAAAGCCACATCTATCAGCTTCCAGAAGTTCTTATATATCACACATCATGTTGTCTTCTAAGGCCAAAACTCTTCCAAATATGTGCTCCAGAATATCCATCTACAATAACTGCAAGCACTATTTTAGTGCTTGCAAGATGTTTCATTGAAATCATCCTAATTAGGAGGAGAGGAATTTCTTAAACACGGTCTTAAAACATCGCAATGGTTTGAAATAGCTGGTACATCAAAGGGAAATGTATAACCAACCTGATAGCTGCTGGAGGGGCCATGCAGGAGGACACAAGCTATTTCAGCAGGTTTCTTGAGTGCACTGGCAGCGACTTCTTGACACAAATGATCAGGGAGCTGTTGTAGGGAGGTGGTGCCCTGTTGAACCTGTTACTTAGACACGAGGAAGAACAAGTCAGGGGTATAAAGGTCAAAGGCAGATTTGGCAGCAATATTCATGAGATGGGGGAGCTTATGGTCCTGAGAGGGGGGAACAAGGCAGATATCACAACTGCAACCACAGACTTTAGAAGAGTAGAGCTGGGCCTCTCCAGCTTTCTGCTGGGAAGAATCCCATGGGAGACTGTCCTGGAGTCCAGCAGAACTGGTTGATATTCAGGGATCACTGGATCCATGCTCAGGAGCAGTTCATCCTAACAAAAGGGAAAATATGAACTGCTGTTGAATGGGATAGGGCACCCGGTGGCAAAAGACGTGGAAAAGACTGATGTATTCAGTGCTTTTTCTGCTTAATTTTTTGCTGGAAAGATCAGTTTTTAAAAATCCCAGGACCCTAAGAAGCCTGGGAAAGTCTACTGCAAGGAAGACTTGTTGGAAAAGAACCAAGTGAGGAAACTTTAAAATACACTGGACAGACACAGATTCATGGGACCTCAGGGGATGCATCCTGCAAGTGCTGTGGCAGCTGGCTGGTAGCATTGCAGGAAAATTCTCAGTATCCTTCTGGAGACTGTGGCAATCAGGGGTGGGCATAGCTGGTTTTCACAGACAGAACAAGGGAGTGTACTCCTTACAGACCTTGAGCAACGTAAGGAAGTGCTGGGACACTTCTCCATTTCCTAAGAACTTGCAAAATGATAGATGCTAAACTTAGACCAACAGGAGCATCTCTTTCCTATTCCCTTTAAAGGTGCAGGAAGGGTGTGCAGAATATACAGGGTAATTATTAATGCTGTTACTGTCAGTCCAGAACCAATATATGCAACTTGACAAAGGTGGGGTTCTCATCAGACATGCTGTGATACACACACTAACACACAGTGCTTTGCTTTTCCCCTTAGGTGCGACTATAAGTGTGATCATTGACATTAATGTCAATATTTCAGTCATTATTTCTGCTCTGATTGCCACTTTGTACACACTTGTGGGTGGAGTTTATTCTGTGGCCTACACCGACGTAGTTCAGCTCTTCTGCATCTTCCTGGGACTGGTAAGTTTGGCTTTTTTTTGCCCTGTTTTGTCAAGGATTTGTCCTGAGCAGCTGGAAGGGCCAAGTGTGTCCTGGGGTGTACCAGGCACAGCATTGCTAACCGGCCAGACTCACAGAGTGCTGACTTTAAAAGTCTGCATTTGCATCAATGTACAGCCTGTACTTGGGAAATAGTGCTGTCCAAGAGGCCTGATTCTTTGGCTGTTTTCCAGCCTGCCTGGCAGTCCAACCACTCTTACAATTTTCCTCTTGAGTATACATCTAACTCAGAATAGAACTGGTGCTGACTCCTTCCCTGTCAGTCTTTAGGACTGTGACACTGGCAGGAGGCATCAGACATACTAAACTGTTGGTAGAGAAATTCTGTCACTGGACCTGCAGAATTGATACTCTACTGCTTCTCTTTTCTGTGGTTGTCACCTACACAGCTTAGTTAACCTCCTGTTAACTTACTTAACCTTCCTGGTTTTTCCCTCATTTCCCTCCACCACCCTTGGAGACCATAATATAGGAAGTCTCACCAGATGTCTTGGCTGTTTTAGTGTGGAAGTGAATATCCCTCTTCAGCTATCAATGATATGCTAGTGGGTAGCCTTTTATTTTATGCTGTTCTTTAAGCCCCATATTGAAAAACATCAGTGTGACACTGATCACAAGGGTAAAATCAAAGAAGCTGCTGGCTTTGTTTGCCAGTGGCAGAAACAGACAGTCAAAGGTGTGCAGAGAACTGAGATATGCTAAAATAAATGGAGTGGCTCAAGATGAAGGAATTAAAGGAAACCTTGGAGGCCTGGTGTTCTTTCTCTGATTTCAACAGAGTTCTTGTGCAACTCTAGGAAAATTGCTTCAGCCATTGCTTACACAGGTGGTCACTAACCAGCTCTCTGTGTGTGCTTACTTTGTGGCATCTTGCTGTGGGGACTATAGCCTTTAAGTGATTTAATGGAAATGGTGCTAAATAGCCTGAAAAAGCAAATCCAAGTTCCAGCTGGCCACCTCAAATGAAAAGTTATTCCAGACTTTCTTCCCTCTTATCTTTTTTCTTCATCTGAACAGTGGGGAAAATACTCTTCCCCTAACATAAATGTTAATATTTGTGTGACATTGAGTTTCTACAGGTGGTATGCATTACAGAAATTCCCAAAACTGGAGAGAAATCAAAGTACAGAAATTGTCTTCCAGCGTGATCCACTCATGAACCACTAGAGAGCCTGATCCTGCAGGAATAACATAAAAATTAGTGTGAACCTGATGGGGGGGGAGGGGTGGGAAGAAAATGAAGGTTGTACAGAAGTTTTCTAAATTATTAGATCTATAGCTTTTTAGTGTTTTGTTTAATTCAGGTTGGGCTCTTTATGTAATTTCTCATTTGAAATAAACATCAGTAATGTAGTTCTGAAGAACCCATATTCATGAACTCAAAAGTGTCATCAGTGAGGCTGAAGAGTCAGTATCTAAATGGCCATGCTCTAGGGAGGCAGGTTTAGAACAGATGGGACCCTCTCACAGTAGATGTCACAGCAGAGGAGAGCACAGATGATTCAGTTATCCCAGCTTCTCCTCCAGACTCTGTTTTTACTCCCACTGTCACAGAGCTTTGCTGCACCTTCCTCTAATGGCTGGTGGTCCAGGAAAGAATGTAAACAATGTATGAGGAGGTTAGGTAAAATAGAACAAAGTTGTATAAATGTGTATTTTCTTCTGCTTTTTCAGTTTCCATTTATTAACTCTTTGCTCACACTCTCAAGGACACATGTGAGCTATCCACTACCAAGCCCTCTGGATTTCAGAAATGTTCCACCTGCACATAATCTGACTTTTTGCAAATCATCTTGATAATTTGGTATTCAATCATATTCAAACAAGCAAGAATAAGAAAACTAGATGAGTGTTAATATTTAAAATTCACAGATTTAGAATATCTTCTTTAGACCTGAGCACATGGTTTCTCTTTGGTTCCAGTGGATCAGTGTCCCCTTTGCCATGTCCCATCCTGCAGTAACAGACATTGGGCTCACGGCTGTGCACCACGTGTACCAAGCACCTTGGCTTGGATCTATCAACTCCCTTGACATTTACACATGGTTGGACAACTTCTTTTTACTGGTAAGTGGTGATTTGTATGAAGGAGTAAAGCATTTAAGCACTCACACCATGTTACTGTGACAGCTGAAAATGATGGAGTCTAGTTAAGAGTTTCTATCACACTGAAAACTTTTACCCTCTTGACTCCTGCTTGATATTTCTGCACATTTGAATGATTTCAGTGACATATCAGCCAGCATTGCCAGGAATGCAATTTAAATAACATCAGGCTGAAAGAGCTGACATGTTAAAATTAAACGAAAGTGTGCAGCTAATGCTTAACTGATGTAATTGTTGGCAGAGGAATTCATATATTGCAGAAGGCAATAAATACATTATACAAATGATTAAATATGCCTTTGGTATAGGGAAAGAAAAAGCTGTGCAGAGATGGATGGCAGGATGGATAAATTCATACATGCACACATGCCAGAATGAACCATGGTCTTTCATTATTTAATACCTATATTACACATGGGATCAGTGGTTATTAAGTACTTGCCATTAGAGGATCTAGAAACACATGCTAACATTTTCCATTCTCAGCATCCCTATGCAAATTTACACTGGTTTTATTATCATGTTTTATTTTGGGATTACATTTTCTGGCTTTTTTTCAAATACTCACAGCCAAAAATCTTCAGGGTCTTTTTATAATTGGTCTATTAAAACATGTTATTTTATTCAGAATTCTCTCAGAGACCTAAAGTATTACATTAGCTCAAGTGGCTGTATTCTCTCCTGTAAGCCTGAAGGTTTCATTTGACCAAAGGAAAGTTTTGATATTGCCAAATTATGATACACTTTCTTTTCATCTCGTCTGTTTCATTATAGCTCAAGAAAGTTACACATTCTTGGAAAGCTTTGATAAAGGAACATTATTATCAAGGTGGCAAAGAAAAACAGTCATAAATAGCAAGTCGAAACCAGACTTGTCAGTGAAACATTAATTTAGTCCCTATGTGTGCATGAAGCTATATGAAACACCTGTATACACACTTTCTGGTCCAAATGCCTCCTGCCTCATTTAGTGTATAGAACTAGGTTATAAAATATGTTTGGCTTTTTTTCCATGGTGTTTGAGGCAGATACTTGGTTACTTAGTGGAGACTATTCAAATCCTGAATTGTTAGCACTTGAGTTTTCAACCTTTGGTAATGCTCTTTTGTGTCATATTTTGCAGAAATCATTTTAAGTCTAATCAGGATCTTCAGTTACATATCCAAATAAAAGAGAAGGGTTTTCACCATAAATCAAAACCTTTCCCTTTTTTGCCTATGTCTTCTACCAACTTTTATTGGTATTGTATTTGCTTAAGGCAGTGGGAGAATAATTTTTCAGATTCCTGAATTCAGTGTATACAGAATTGTCTCACCTTCTTTAAATGACTAGACACATTCACAAAGGAAAATAAAATCTTGCTCTGATATCATGTCAGAGTCTAATCCAATTTTAGTGGAGCAGGAGTATTGGAGGGAAAATTCTTCAAATATAAAATATGAAAATATTTTTCCATAAAGTTTTATCAAATCAAAAGACTTGGGGACTACAGAGACTATGAAAGTGCAAGTGTTGATCCTAATTGTATAAAAAATAACTTATCTAAAAGAATGGTATTTAAGCGGACTTACACAGCTTTGACATTGCTTGTGATAATGAAAGTTGCAGTTCTTACTGGCTGGCTGATATTCAATAAATAAATTAAACAGTAGAAATATGGCTTTCAGCATTCAAGTGACCCTTGTGCATGTTCTCTGTATGGTGATAGTAAAACAATTCAGCTATCTCCCAGTCACAGCATTCTGTTGTGTTTGCAGACATTAGGAGGAATTCCATGGCAAGCGTATTTCCAGAGAGTTCTTTCCTCATCTTCTGCCACATACGCTCAAGTCCTGTCATTCCTGGCTGCTTTTGGCTGTCTTGTGATGGCAATTCCTGCAGTGCTGATTGGAGCAATTGGAGCATCTACAGGTAAATGATTAAAAATCAGTAGTACAATAAATGTAAAATGAATAGTGCAACAAGTGCGTGAAAATAAATCTTGTGTTAGATATAGGTGATACATATACATAATCATACAGGTTAGATAATCAGGTGGCAGCATTTTTCAACTCATGACTGCTTCAACAGAAGACTATACAGAAAAATAATGTAATAAAGTATTTCTCCCAAAGGAAATTGCTCCTACCACAATGGATGAAATTAAATAATTTTGTAGATTCTAGATATCTACAGACACAATACTTTTATTCAATGTTTGTGTTAGATTCTGGTACTTTTCTTTGGTTAGTACAGTAATAATGGGGAATAGCTGAGGGAGCTGTGGTTATTTAGCCTGGAGAAAAAGAGACTGAGGAAAGACATTTTGCTCTCTATAACTACCTGAAAGGGGGTTGTGGCAAGGTGCATCTCCCACATAACAAGCAACAGGATGAGAGGAAATTGCCTCAGGTTGCAGCAGGAGAGGTTTAGAATGGATATAGGGGAAAAGGTGTTCACCAAAATGTTTGTCAAGCACTGGAACAGGCTGCCCAGGGAAGTGGTGGATTCTTCATCCTTGGAGCTATTTCAAATAGGTGTAGACATGGCTCTTGGGGATGTGGTTTATTGATGGGCTTGGCAGTGCTGGGCTAATGGTTCAACTCAATGATCATAGACGTGTTTTCCAAACTAAATCATTCTTTGATTTAACAGAAATTTCTTACCTTGACAAATATATACTTGCCAAGGTTTTTCTTGTCATAGTGAAAGTGATCCCCATCATAATGACTGTGTAGCTAAACTGCTAAAAATATTCTTTTAGAAATGTTTACATTGCTTTGAGTCCTGTTTGTAATCTAAAAGAATAGGTAAACACGTCACAAAAAAACCCATGGATCTCAGACTTATTTTATTGAATAAAACTACATTTATGAGCAATTTAAAGTTTATTTTAGAGACAAGGAAAAATGCTGAGCAGAATTAAATCTGCCTAACAGAAACTGGTGTGACACTGCCTCTCTAAAATGCCATCGGTCTGGCCCTAGTAACAGTTTGTTCTTGAATGTGCATGAAAATGTGGTAATATGAATAGCCTCCTACCTGTGAAGTCAAGAGGTGCTGTGGTTGCTAATGTCACTGATAACATACTGGTGTCCGTATTTCAGCTTGGAACCAGACTGAATACGGTGTCCCTGACCCCAAGAGCAAAAAAGAAGCAGATATGATTTTACCAATCGTGCTGCAGTACCTTTGTCCAGTCTACATCTCGTTCTTTGGCCTGGGTGCTGTGTCTGCTGCTGTGATGTCCTCAGCTGACTCCTCAATTTTGTCAGCAAGTTCTATGTTTGCTCGGAACATTTACCAGCTTGCCTTTCGGCAAAATGTGAGACAATGTTTTCGTTTTTACTTTTAGAGAAAATTTTAGGTGAGACCTTCCCTACAGACTATAATTTCATAATGAAACACCTCTTTCATGTTCCTGCCTGTAACTAGAAAAAGAATTTAATTGCTAACAGTATGTTGAACAAACTGAAAAGCATAAAAATAATTATGGTTGTGACTGATGACAAAAGTGAAAAAGCTGGCTTGGGAAGGGCAGCCATCAAGAGTTCTCATGGACATGCAATTTATCCAAACAGCTAATAAGTGTTGCCACAAGTGTAAGTTCCGCTTAGATTTTTCACAAAATGAGACATTTTTCTAATCTTTCATTTATTGGGAAATCATTTGGCAACAGAATAGTCTAATGAGTTGGAGTTTTTCTTAGGAAACAGAGAAGAAATTCTGATGCTAACAGTTTTTTTCTAGTTGTGATTCTATTTAAAAGTTATTTTTTACACTGCTGTTTTTTTTCTTTGACTCATCATCAAGCTTTTTGCTATGTCCAAAGAGTAATGGCTTTGGGAATGGCAACCATTACCCCTAGGGTTTTTTGTCTGAGCTTGAGATTGAGCTAGAGTTATCAGTTTGTAATTATTAGTGAATTAATCATGCAAAGCTCTCTTTTACAATTCAGTATTTTATATTGACTGTATGTAAGTGTAGGCATACAGTCAATATAGATATATGTATAGGCATGAAAAAACCGCCTAACACTGCCCTTTTTTTGCAGGCTTCAGACAGGGAAATTGTGTGGGTCATCAGAATCACTGTTCTTCTGTTTGGAGCATCAGCAACAGCGATGGCACTGCTGGCTTCATCGGTGTACGGCCTCTGGTACCTCAGCTCTGACCTCATCTATATCATCATATTCCCCCAGCTCCTGTGTGTGTTATTTATCAAAGGAACCAACACCTACGGTGCCATTGCAGGATACCTGTTTGGCCTTGTCCTCAGAATAACGGGAGGAGAGCCATACCTCTACCTTCAGCCCTTGATCTTCTACCCTGGCTGGTATCAAGATGATAACAACCTCTATATCCAGAGATTCCCATTTAAAACACTTGCTATGCTCACCTCCTTCTTTACTAATGTCATAGTCTCCTACTTAGCCAAATACTTATTTGAAAGTGGGACTTTGCCACCAAAGCTGGACTTTCTTGATGCTGTTGTTGCCAGATACAGTAGAGAACACATGGACAAAGCAACTCTTGTAAAAAGTGACAATATTGTATTAAATGAACTTGCACCTGTGAATCCACGACACAGTCTAACTTTGAGCTCAACTTTCACAAACAAGGAAGCCTTCAACTACGTTGATTCAAGTCCAGAACTGTCTAATGCTGAAGATAATTAAAAAATCTCATAGCCACAGGCAAAACAATGAGAAGCAGGATATTCTACAAAGAAGTATTTTATCAGAAGAAAAGCAAGAATTGGGAATAAAATGCCGCTGCACATTCTTTAAGTTGTTTCTAGGAGCAGGAGCATCTCATGGGAGGAACTCTTTTGTGCTATTATCTAATATGTTGGATTAGATCACAGAGTGTTTACTAAAGTATTCAATCCCATTCCTTCCATCCAGAGCTATATACTGTACCATTAAAAAAATATTTAAAATTTAAAATATATGTAGAAGAAAATGTGCAACAGTTCTTAGCTAGGATATCCTATGAAGAGATTATAATACAGTAAGTCTTAAATATTATCACTCAGCATTTTATTGGCATTAAGTGAAAATATATTGCCACAGCTATAAGTGATTTATTACTAAAGAGCTAGTTGCTTGAGCAAAGACAGATAGATAAATTCCCTGGGGTTTTGGCCTGGTAATTTTTTTCCTCATAAAGAAATTTAAATAATACAATCTAGTAATTTATTGTTTGTATGAGACAGCAAAATGCACAAATAGTAATAAATTCCTTTTAGGAGTGCTAAATTAAATCACCAGTTTAAAATTATGTTATAGCTGATATAAGGCAACCTTAAGCAAAATATGTTAATATGGGTGTTCTCTTTCTTTTTCTGTGGTTAATGACTGTCACCAAAATTCTTAGAGCAATAACTGGAATTGAAATTCAGCTTGTGAAAAATGCTCTTATAGAAAAACTCAAACTAAATAGAATTTTTCGGTGTTGGGTGAAGAAGACTTATCTTGACTTATCATCAAAATGAACACAAGCAAAGCAGTCTGACACCAAGCAACTTCACCAATGGAATAAATATTGAAAAGTAAAGAGAATCAAGAAGATTTGAAAGAGAAATGAGAGGGTTTTCCTTGCAGAAAATTCCCAATTTTCACTTACTAAAAAAAGCTATTCTTAAAGATGCTGAAAAATCTTTTGGCTTAGTCATGCTGGAATTACTCTGAAAAATCCAGATTTTCCATAGAAAATAGCATCTCAAAAATTTCTCACAAAACCAGGCTTGCTGTACAGCTTTCCACATCTCTAAGTGTTTGCCTCTGAAAGCAGCTTGGAGAGGAACTGAAAGGAATGCTGAACCCACAAACACAGAGAGAGGCACAGTGGTGTCCTCCACTAAGTGCCAGACTCCTCCATTGATCCCTGCCCTCCTGGCCGTCCCAGTGAGCCTGCAGAGCAGCAGCACTGGCCAGGTGCAGACAAGATGTGGCTCACGAATGGCAATGCTGGCCAGAAGCAGCAAAGTGGGGAGATGAGGCCTCTGCTGACTGCCCAGGCCAGCAGGAGCAGGCAGTGTTGTCTCCACTTGCCCAGGGCCAGGATGATTGTGTCTGTCCCCGTTGGTATGTGCCTTTCTCAGCGCGAGCTCCAGTAGCTACATTTCTCTACAATTAAGTGTTATGCTCCAATAATTCTTTTTAAAATCTGTGTATGACGCAAAATGTTCGTTTGAAATCCAGATATCCTCCTGTTGCTGGTCACCAGTGAAATTCCTTTTTTTAACACTCACAGCACGAGGAGTTATAAGGGAGGATAGGAGACGTAAGAATAGGTTTTGCTGCTAAAGGAAGAAGCCATCAACTTGTGCATTCAGTGTTGACATAAGCTGTCACAAGGTTGAATCCTTAGATATGTTTTGCTCCTTTTGTGGAGTCTTAACAGCATACATATATATTTAATATGTAGAGAAAATTCATTTCAGAGATGTTGATTTTTTTTTTCTCCTTATACTGCATTTAAAAATAACATTGCAGCTCATTTCTGAATATGCACTGTGACCTGCAGTACTACTGTGCTTACCAATATGGAGTGTGCTCTGGGTGGAGGGAATCAAAACCAGGATGTGCAGTAAAAACTCAGAAGAGCCAGTATAGCAAAGAAATTAAAAACTCCTGTGAGATGAGTTAATAGGCCACCCATGAAACTCAGGGTGCTGAGTATCACAAACCAAACACGAGCCCAGCAGTCTTAATTCCCCCACGAACCACAGAAGGGAGATAAGGAAACAGACTTTGTAGAGGAAAGAGGAGAAGAACAGAGGCACTGCTGAATTATTCTTCATTTTCAGCCCAAATCCACTAGTCTGAATCCCTTCTTATGGGAAAATATCAAGTCACAGTTTTACCTGCTTACATAGCCAATGCCTTATGCTGCTGTTCCAAATTAAGTTAGAGGATCCCATTTAACAGTCACCTGTAGGCCTTCCTAAAAACTTTTCTCTTACCTCAGTTTTGTCCAGAAATTGCTAGAATTTCACTACGAGATGCTGCATAGTGACCAGATGCTTTGAATACAGCAACATTTCAATATTATTTATTTCAAAATGCCCAGTTATGGGAAGGGAAAAAAAGAAAAGAGAAGGGGATTGAGCTGGAATAATTTAAGAAATTTTGATTGAAAAATAAAACTTTCTTTCTTTTGTATTCCATTGTTGCCATAAAAATGTAAATGGCTTTAAAATGCTCCAAAAAACGCAGCTGAAAAATATAAATGTTAGCCCAAAAATTTCAAACCAGACACTTTAAACATTATCAGAATATTTTGCACTTTCTATCCTATAGAAATTTTTTTAATTGATACTATTTTATGCAGTATTCCTGCTTAGATGGATTACAAAAGCCAAACCAAACAGCCCCATGCAAAGTCTGTTTACAGGTTTTATTGCCTTAGCTCAGCTGTCCTACCATTTAATTTGTACAGAGCTGTTCATATAACCAAAGGCCATATCTGTGATTGATAGCTGTGGGGGGAAAAAAAGAGCAAAAAACAAAAAAACCAAAACAAACAAACAAACAAACAAACAAAAAACTAGGTTACTTCCACAAGCAAAGTGCCAACAGGATGTGATTCTTTAAGCAGATTTTATTTTCAGAGGAATTACAAGTTTTTCTCCCCTTTTGCAATTTGTGGACAGTAGTACTGTACAGTAAATTAGATTTATAATCAGTGAAGCAAACAGCTTATTTTCAGACACTGAGGTTATTGTTTCTGAGCCTACAATTTTAAGGTAAAATATTCATGATACAATCATACATTTTACTTTCATATTCTTCACATTTGTGAATAACATTTATTTGACAGGGGTTTTTTTCCTCCTTTGCATGAGATGTATTCATAAAATCAAGGTTGATAACATAGCTGACATGTCAGAAAAGTTATTTCATCTCTACTTGTCCAAATGGGATGGTATACGTATTATAAACAAACCATACTTTTGTGAACCTGAACTGAATGTAAACATTAAGTGGATCAAATAAAGTCAGATTTAGTGTTTTATTTTCATATAGTACAAGAGTTTAGGAGTTCAAATAGAAGTATCATAGGAAAAAACTGTTATTCATTTTCCTTCTGCCCAAGTGTATTGGTCAAGTTCCATGTGCAGTTAGTAAGTTATTGTAAGTCTGCTACTAATCAGGGCAGTATTTGTGGATGTAGTTAAAAAAAAAAGTATATTTTTGTCTGTGTCAGAAATGCTATATTAAGACTATACTTAACAAAGCAGATAGGAAGCATAATATAGATATCTATGTTTTAACTTCATTTGTATTGTATTCAATAGCGTCCATGCATTTCAAGAAAACACTGTCTGGTTTTGGGTCTGCTTTGTCCATCTATTAAAAATAAAGACGTTTATTTTATTATCACTCAGCATCACCTGAGGTTCTGTCTCACAAGCACAGCCCCACAGAGATGAGGTGGTCCTGGCAAAATGAGATCTGGCCCACACCCTGGCCACCAGCATGGTCACAATGGCTACAGCCCTACCCCCAAACCTGGCTTCAGTGTTGGAAATAGAGCTCTCATTTCAGTAATGTCTCCCTTGTTCTCACAAAGTCAGAGAAGTCACAAAGAAGAGAAGCCCCTGAGCTCCAGGATAATCTACATGCAGTGGGATTCCCTCCTGCAGAACCTTTGCTAAGGATCTTTTATTTGGGGGTGCCACACTGGGACAGGGACTGTGAGCTTGGTAAGGAGCACAAAATGCACTATGAGTCAGGAACTCCTGCACCCAGGGACTGCAGCTGTGATCCACTTCTGGGTGAACCCACTGGAGAATGGGTCTGATAGCTTTTCCCTTTGTAGAGGGATATGAAGTCATCCTGGGCATTGAATATGTTATAAATCATTATTTAGAAATACAAAAATTAGTGGATTGAAAACTAAATATGTGCTTTTATAGGCCTATTAAGAGTTTGATCATCACAGGAAAGATGCAAATGCATGGCTTTCCAAATGCTAATGTCATTGCCAAATAATGCCACACACCAAATATGCAGAATATTTATCCCCCCAAATGCTTTGAAAAAATACATTAACAATACTGTCCACTCATGTCCACTCAAAGCACACTGGTTTGTTTTCCAGAGCACTGAGGTGTTCCCTTATGGAACAAGCGCAGTCTGAGGTTTTCAAAGAGTGTTGAACAGTGCAGACATTTCCCTGAGGCTGTAACGCTCTGGTCTCTTTTGCAATCAGTAGTTTAATTCCCACCTGCATCTTTGAAACACTGAAGCATGCTTTAACACAAGACCCCTGATATGCTGTAGCTTGTAACCTAGAAAAAAAGCAAGTCCATAATTCTACAGATTCAAAAAAAAAAGAAAAATCCTTAAGTAAGGTTGCACTGAAGGTTGCAATGGAAACATAATTGAAGGTTTCATCACATTACATGATAGGTAAAATGCCACATGCATGCCAGCTTTGGCCAAAAGTACAGCAAAACCCAGCCTAGGAAGCTCTACGTTGGGATTTTGGGGCTTTTAACCTTCAGGAGGCTTTACCAGAAAGAGCATACTTCTCAGGGGTGAGTTTGCACCTGACTGTCTGGAGCACTGACCTTCAGCAACCAAGACTAGAAATACAGATGAAGAAAAACATCCATCTTGGTTGCAGGATGTGATCACATGTTGTGATTGAGAGAGACATGGTCTAT